CTGCCTGGGTTGGGGGGGGAAGTGAGAATGGGTGACCGTGGCTGTGGCGGCGCAGGGGCGGGGCCTGTCCTGACTCCGCTGCTCCCTGCAGTATGTGGTGGCGCGTCCTGCCCAGGGAGCGCTTCTCCGGGGCCTGTTCCTGCCCTCGTGCCCAGGCTGCGGCCAGCCAGAGCTGCTGCAGGCCGTGGGCATCGTTGGCGCCATCATCATGCCCCACAACATCTACCTGCACTCGGCCCTGGTCAAGGTGAGCCGAGGGGAGCGTAAGGGTGACATCACCCCCTTAGAGCCATGCCGGGCCCGCCCCCAAGCCCGGAGCCCCGCCCCTCGGGCGTCTTCCTGCAGGATTTTCTGTGGCAAGAGCCAGGGGAGCCCGGCTCAATAATGCAAAGAAAGTCAAGGCCCTTGCCCTCCTAGAGTTTGCATTCTACTGGGGGAGACAGATTATGAACAAGTGAACCAATAACGGGAAGAGTTATGGCTTGCGAAAGGCACTCCGAGGGACACAAAGCAGAAGTATGACAGAGAATGCCTGAAAGATGAGCAGGTAGATCAGAGAGGATATTACACGTAGAGGGAACAGCAAGTGCAAAGACCCTGAGGCAGAAATAAACCAGCCGTGTCTGAGGGAGGAGCAAGGCGAATGAAGGAGGCTGTGACCAGAGCTGAGGTTGAGAGGGATCTCACAGGCCAGTCCTGCTTCATTCCCGCCTGTAGTGGGTCACTGTGGTCAGACCTCTGTGGCAAGAGCAGAGATGTAGGAAAGGGGTTGGCTGACCAGAGCCGGTCCCATACTGCCATGTAGGGGACTTTAAAAGGTCCTGGGGTTTAGGGGGGAAACATCTGTAGAAGTGTGAGGGTGAGGGACATTGCGGTGGCTCTGAGCGACACTGACCCTTCCTCCCCTTTTGACCTCATAGTCTCGAGAGATAGACCGGGCCCGCCGAGTAAACATCCGAGAAGCCAACATGTACTTCCTGATTGAGGCCACTATCGCCCTGTTTATCTCCTTCATTATCAACCTCTTTGTCATGGCTGTCTTTGGGCAGGCCTTCTACCAGCAAACCAACCAGGCTGCGGTGAGACACACTTTTCCATGCACACAAATCTGCAAACCTTGCTGAGGACCCCAGGCAACGCAGCTAAGCCCTCTGAGTCTCTGCCCTGGACTCCAGTGCCTAGGGTCCTCTCTCCTGATAATCTTTGTTGTGGGCAGATAAACCACCATTCATTTAGCAAATAATTATTGAGCATTTGTTAGGGACCAGGCAACGTCCTAGACCCTGGGGATAAAACAGTGAATGCTACCGAGACCCTGCCCTTTGCAGGTGAAACAGGGCAGGGGTGAGTAGACTGCAATAAGTACCCAAAGGAAGTGGAGAGTGTGAGTGATGCCGCGAAAGAAATAAAGGGATTCTCAAGCAGTTCGGAGAATGAAAAAGGAGGAAAGGGCCGGGTGCAGTGGCTCATGCCTGTAATCCCAACACTTTGGGAGGTTGAGGTGAGAAGGTTGCCTGAGTCCAGGGGTTCAAGACCAGTCTGGACAACTTGGCGAGACCTCATCTCTAAAATAAATCCAAAAACTAGCTGGATGTGGTGGCACGTGTCTATGGTTCCAGCTACTTGGAAGACTGAGGTGGAAGGATCACCTGAGCCCAGCAGGTTGAGGCTGCAGTGGCCATGATTGTGCCACTGCACTTCAGTCTGGGCGACAGAGTAAGACTCCGACTCTGACTCCAAAAAAAAAAGGAAAGACAGCGATAAAGCATAACTGGGAGTATGAGTGAGGGGGCTACATTAGTCCAGTTGGTCAGGAAAGGCTTCTTGGAAGAGGTGGTGCTTGTGCTAACACTGAAAAAGAAGCTGGCCAGCTCTTCAGTGGCTCTCTGGGGTTTGGGAGCTGTGTCTGTTTCCCTTCTGAGTGGGTCTCCATCACGAGGCTCTAACAACTGCTCCCCAGAGCTGGGCGCCTGCTGAATGCTGAGCGCTGTGTGGGGGAGGGGTGGCCAGACTTCGGGGACCTGGGCACTGCCACAGCCTTGCTCCGGGACCTTGGGAGATCACACTCCTTCCCGGGTCTCACTCTGTTTCCTGGCACAAGGAGAAAGGTCTAAATAGGGACTGCAAACCCTTGTCTTTAAGACCAGGCAGCAGCAGAGCTGTGGGAAGTCGGCCGGGGTGAGGAAGGGGACCGCCGGCAGGCCAGCAAATCGTCTCTCTGTGGCAATGCCAGCTCTTACAAATCCAAGAGAAGCTGGCAACTGGGTTCTCAAGTGAAGTCTTCTCCATTTTAAATACTGGCAACAAATTCACATCAAATTACAAAAAAAAACTCGACTCTGTTAGCCAAACAAAATACGTCTGGCCGGATTCGCCTGCGGGCCACCAGTTTTTGAACCCCGGTCAAGGCCTGGCGGTCTGGTTTCCCAAGACCGGGTGCGCGCTTCTCATCTCCCTCCTCCTGCCCCGGTGCCCGCAGTTCAACATCTGTGCCAACAGCAGCCTCCACGACTACGCCAAGATCTTCCCCAAGAACAACCAGACGGTGGCGGTGGACATTTACCAGGGAGTAAGAGCAGCGCAAGAGTGGGCGGGGCAGGGCGGGGCCCAGCCGGGCTCCTGGCCCCGCCCACCAGGGGCGGAAGGGCGCGGGGGCGTGGCCTGCGCGGAGTGGGCGGGGCCCCAGGTCTGACCACACCCCGTCTGCGCAGGGCGTGATCCTGGGCTGCCTCTTCGGCCCCGCGGCCCTCTACATCTGGGCCGTGGGTCTCCTGGCGGCCGGGCAGAGCTCCACCATGACGGGCACCTACGCGGGACAGTTCGTGATGGAGGTGGGGCAGGCTGGGGAGGACCTGAGGTCCAGGCACAGCAGGCATACTACTGGGGGCGCTCGGACGTGGGGCCTTTTGATTCCTAAAACAGTCCAGGGAGTTTTAGGAAAGTCCCATTTTACAGATGAGGCAAACTGAGGTTGAGAGATGAGGCAACTTGCTGGAAGCTGCAGACCCAACGCTAATAGGAGCCGTTTCCCAAATACTGTTTAGTCTTCCTCAACCTGCTAGGGGAGGGGAGCCCCTGTTTCTCCCCACCCTTCCCGTCTCTGTCACTTAGGACAGAGCTGCCCCAACTAAACGAAGGAAACACTGCGTCCTCCCAGGCGTGAGGTGGGCAGAGGGACGACACTGGGTCCCTCCTCTGAAATCCCCAGCCCTGTCACTGCCCCGCCAAGATGCTCGTTCCTACCCCAGGGCTTTCTGAGGCTGCGGTGGTCACGCTTTGCCCGAGTCCTGCTCACCCGCTCCTGTGCCATCCTGCCCACCGTGCTCGTGGCGGTCTTCCGGGACCTCAGGGACTTGTCAGGCCTCAACGACCTGCTCAACGTGCTGCAGAGCCTGCTGGTGAGATGGGGGTCTCCACCTCCCCACCCCCTGCAGAGCTAGCCGGGAGCCACGGCCATCCCCTACGCTGAGCCTGTCCCGAGCCTATCCCGCCGGACAGTTCCATCCCAGGCACACCTTGTCTTCAAGGCTCACATGATCCCCACAGCCGCCCTGGGGTTAGAAATCACCCTTGCCGGCTCGGTGGCTCAGCCTGTCATCCCGCGCCTCGGGAGGCTGAGGTGAGTGGATCGCCTGAGCCGGCGGGTTCGAGACCCACCTGGGCAACTTGGCGAGACCTCCTCTCTACCACAAATCAAAAAAATCAGCCGGGTGTGGTCGCGCGTGCCAAGGACCCACAGCCAGGCAGAGGGTGGGAAGCCGTGCTGGTGCCACCCCTCCCGGCTGTGTGCTGAGGGCAGAGTCCCTCGGCCTCGGCCCCAGCCTCCTGCCGTTCTTGCCAGCTTCCATTTGCTGTGCTGCCCATCCTCACGTTCACCAGCATGCCCGTCCTCATGCAGGAGTTTGCCAACGGCCGGTGAGTCCTCCCCTTCCCAGGCACTGGACTTGCTTTACCACGTTTGATCCTCACAGGCAGCCAGAGGTAGCAACTGCCTCTATCGCCGTTATCCAGGTGAAGCAGCAGAGGCTCAGAGAGGATAAGGAACGTGTCCAGGGTCACACAGCTAGCAAGTTGGGGAGGCAGGGCTGGAGTCCAGGGGCGAAGGCTGTTTCTAGAGCCAGGGCTCCTCACTCTCGCCTCAGACTCTGCCGCTGTGCAGCCAGGAGGGCCCAGGAGGCAGAGGATCAGCAGGTGGCCCGTCTGCTCCAGGGGCTTTGTGTATCCACCCCCATTACC